TAGAAATAACTGCTTCAACTTTGTATATATGGATTCAGTTTGACTCATATTATGTAGGCTAAACGATATACTAAAAAACCTTAATGATATTTTTAACTTAGATAAAAGCTGAAATACTAAAATGATGTAATAACTTTTTTATCAAACACTTGCGACAATAGGAAATAGCACGGTTTTTCGATTTTAGGCCGTCAAAATAATTTGGCTTGAATTCATTCATCTCACATTCTTTTTATTTGAAGCCATTAGGAAGTGTAATAGAAACATCATCCTCTATATCACCATTCAATGCGGCACTACAAACATAAAATTAAAATACTATAAAAATAAAATTATCACATAAGTCTAAGAAAATCCTTATTGATGGTAATTTGGCAACAGGACTATAAACATCCGAGAATAACAATCCACTTTGTGGAAATAATCCTCTTGCTACAAGACGACCTTTAATTATTTCACCACTTTCATCATTTTCACTTTATTGTCGCCAGTGATTTTAACCATAATCATTTTCTTATTTTCTTCTAAAGCACTTATTTCCAATTCCATAGATTCTTGCCATTCACCTGCTTCTTTAATAGCGATAGCTTCATTATAGTTTCTAGGTTCCTTGTTTTCGCAAATGGTTACAAAACTGGTTTCCATATCTACCTCATAGCGATTATGAAATCTTTCAATTTCTGTCTTGTATTGAATTTTTTTTCTCTCTTTTTTATTATTTACCATAACATCATCATCACTTCAGTCATCATTAAAATTACTCTCATCGCTTCCTTCTGATATCACACCGTTTCACTCATTAGCCCCATTCCCATTTCCTTCTCTCTTATTCTCTTATTCTATATTTTCTTTTGGGCTTACTTCAATATAACAAGGTAAGAAGGATTCCTTGGTGTGATTTTCGTTTTTGTTAATGATTCTTTCTGCTTCAGTTGAAAATATTTTATTAATTTCTTCAGGATGTAGAATGTCGCAATGGTATGTGCTGCCTTCTGTTTACCCATTCTGCTCGTCACAGTACGTTGATAGCGTATACTTCTAGCCTCTAGATTCAACCGTCTCTGCAACCTATAAATTCCAAACTGTTATCTGTTCTTAATACTTTCATTTTACATCCAGTCTTTTTTGCTATATATATATAATTATCGGTTTATAATGTTCTTCCTCTTCCGATTCCCATCAACGACGTCTACTCTGCTTCTTCTCAGTTTGCCGCGTCTTCTTCTTCCCTCTTCCAATCAATGATTTGCTTGAGTATTCTTATTTTTTTGGCATATTACTATCAGCCTTTCTCCATTGTTATTCGTAACATTATCTCCACTAATATCTTGTCGTTTCTTATTCTGTTCCTTCCTGTTTCTCTATTAGAATCTCCGAGCAATATTATTTCACTTGAATTTCCTACTTTTATGATTTGATCACTGAGTTGTTGATAGAATGCTTCTTTTATACTTACGGGTTGACCGTCGTTCTCTCCATATATCACAAAAATTGTTATTTTCCTTCCTAACATACATTTAGTTTTATTATTGTGTCGTTTACTGCTTTCCATGATGTTGTTATGTTCTTTCCAGGTAATTTTTTTTCCTAGATACTTATTGAAAGTTCATGTATCAATATTCATTGTCCGTTTGAAATCGCTTCAGTTGTTGAAACTTTTCCTATTCGCTTGACACTTTGATGTGCAATTATTCCACTATTTCGTTCAACAATATTGAGAAGCTTGCCTTAAGGGATTCTTACGCGCACCTACTAGATGTGTAACAGTCTCGGGCTAAAAACATCCTGAGACCTTCGGCACTTGACAGTACGAATATGATAAGTTTAGCTGATTTTTACTTTTTTTCTGAGAGATTACCTTATGTAAGGTAAAGTTGTATTTCTCATCAGATCAATCAGAAGTCAGTAGGCAGTCCGGTTCACAATAGAGCTCCAAAGTTATTTTTTTGAATTTTGTTAGGTCAGAATAAAATAATCCATGAATCTAACACAATTTTTGATTAAACAACACAGCCTAATCTTTTATAAAATTGAAATTTGATAAAAAAGGATCCGCACCATTAGCATCAGATTATATTTCTTTTTCGAAATTAGATTATGTAGATCCTTCACAGCCCTAGCGTTTTGAAAATTCATTCAACTGTTACCTTATTGAGTATATCGCATAAATTTCGTCAAAAGTTTTCCCTGAAAAGTAATTTACACTGGTACAGAGACACGCAGCTATAGCTTTTATATTTGATGTGAACAATTCACCTAAAAATGATCCAGTTGAAGGTGCAATTCCAAAAGTTGAAAAAAAAAACATAAAAGCTATTACACTGCAAACTGGGTAACAATCAAAAGATTCAGACTTAATATTCTTGGATTGCAAATAAAAGAAAAGCCCCAATGAAATATGAGCTAAACTAGTTATTATTGAAGAGAAATTTAAAATTGGCCTTTTAACAAGTCGATCAATTAGCTGAGTTGTTAATATAGTGGCTATATTGATATTTTACCAACCATCATAGCTGAATAGGCTGGAGAAATTACACTTCCAGCCTGTTCAAATATGGTTCAAGTAACAGCACAATCAGAGAAAGAATTAATAGCCATTAAGGCACCGCATATTATCAAACCATTGTCTGATCCTCCATTTTTCAAAAGGTTCATTACTTCTGCATGACCTCGCGCATCAGCCTCAACAGCTTTTTGGTTTTCTATAAGGTCATGCTTAGCATCACTCTTTTGTCTGAGCTCGATTTTTTTTTTCTCAAGTACCTAAAACCTGAGGAGTATCTGATACAAAAAAGTGAACAACATAAGAGCAGATATAGTATTCAGAATACTCAACCTAATTATTGATACAAAAGGTCTGACAATGTAAATACCAATATTATTGAATTCCTGAAGTTGAAAACACTGCAATTAGGCTACCCAATGCTCCACCTATTCTAGAATCACACATTTCCTATACGTATCACGCTATAAGGGATCAAGCTGCTCCTGATGTTGGACCCATAAGAATTTTACGTGTCTAATTTTCAGACAATCAAGTTAGGAGATTGTTCGACATATTTTTGCAGCCTTTGGTCTTTTACTACTCTGTCCTTGCCTGCTTTTGCCTAGCACGGAATAAAGGGAACTAAACTGCTGGACAAATGAAGCGGAACAAGCAAATTTTTAGGTTAACTTCAAATTCCAATATTTCGCGAACTAGAAAAGATACCAATGAGCAATTTGCGAAAATTAACTCCTAAATTACGCAAATGACTCATTGATATCTCCTCAGTTCGCTTAATATTGGAATCCAAAGTTAAACTAAAAATTCGCTTGTTCCGCTTCATTTGTCCAGCAGTTTAGTATAAAATATAAATTTCACATAACAGTCACAATAATTATTCTCCATGAAGATATCCACAGCTTGTGGCGATCTCTGAAAATAAGATTGATTTGAGATAAGATAAGATCGTATAGAGCAAAATATTTAGGTACCATTTTTTTGAGTTTTTACTATTGTGTTCTCTGTTCTGTATTTTGTTCTGTAGGAATCAGGTAGGTAAATCAGCATTTGTTTTCCCTATTTTTGCAGAGGTTTCCATTGTGCAACTTTGAAAACATCAGGTTTCCATCCTAAAATAATAAGAAAATTGAGATAGGGTTAGAATAGGTTAGAAATGTAAACAAATGTTGGTAGGGTTAGGGAATTGTTTAAATCAGACTAAAGTCAACTGTGGCACAAAAACTTGAATATTGAGTATTGAATGCGCAATATCCATTAATTCGAACTGTCCAAAAATAAACGAAAAATTCCCTAGAATCCGGTTCGTGTAACCAGAAATTCTACTGTTGGAGGAATTTTTCTTTTTCGAGAATCACATAGAAGAGAAGCCACGTTATAGCTTTCTTCTGAGGCATTTTGGCAAATTTGAGTGAATATTTGGGAAGTAATTGAGTCTTTAACGGTGGCTATTATTCTTATATAACACCAGTGCAAGTATTTGCTAATTTAACAAGATTTTAATACGTAAAAACCCAAATTCTGGAAAATAAGTTTGGTTCGTGTCACGTGTTGAGTGTCGAAAAGGCCAATCCACATTGGTAAGTCCCTATTATTCATAATTTTATTTTGTATTCTGATCCCTGTTAGAGTTTTATGTCCCTCAAAACGTAATTGATTGCAATGCTTACCTCAATTCTTGTTGAAATCGAGTTTTTAGTGTGAACTCCCTCTTTTAGGCCTTTTATATTGGATAACGTTACATCCCTTTCTTCTGTTGCTGTCGTTAGATGCACAAAGGCACCTGATTGCTGAATTGCTGGTGCTCAATCCTGGACCTAATAGATTGCTTGTGGAGCTTTTGGGGCCTGTCAATCTCAATCGTCCCCCAAGAGGTTCCTAGTAGTACCACTCCATCGAATAAATGTATACTCAGGTTAGCGTATTGTTGTGCCGTTTTGGGAACCATCCACCCCGTCTGTATTAAGGGTTCCACCATCTATTGGGAGCTGGAGCCTCTCACCTGCAATCAGTTCTGTGTCGATTATTTCCATTGTAGTCCACCTACTCTTACTCTCAAGATCATTGCTCATCTCATCTGAGGAAATCTTTTGCCCTCCAGTTATGACGGATTCATTTATTGATCGTTTTTCAATCAAGTAATCTTATTCCTTGCATTTCTCTTTCCATACACTATGCTATTCCAGAAAAGCGCAATAGAATGATGATCATGATTAAGCTTTTGAAGTCCCGATGAGTCACTTTTTTGGGTAATAATTTATTAACGAAGTTGGATTCGGTAGACTTAACCAGAATGATTTTGTCTGAAAAAAAATACTTCATCAAAAAGTGAAAGTGATACTAAATACCCTCGTGGGTTCATCCAAGAACTTGAAATAATCCATATGAATTGATACAATGTGTGACTGCGGTATTAGGGTGTAAGTCCAGTCCATCATATTAGATGATATTTTTCCAAAATTTAGTAAGGTTAGAACAAAATAAACTATACATTTTTTTAAAGCAATCTTTAATTTAACAAATCAGTCTGCACAAAAATGCTTGGATGTTTGATGTTTTATACAATTGAAATTTAATACAAAAAGATTGGCTGCATCATATATCACACATTATCACCTACATTAATTCCTTAATTAAATCAGATCAATAGCCATAATAGCGATTGGAAAACTCATTTACCTGTTTTCTTATTCAGTATCGCATAAATCTCTTCAAAAGTTTTCCCGTTTGTTTCTGGTAGTTTAAATGTGCAAAATAACGAGCACGCTGCCATCATGACACCGAAAAAGAAAAATGTATTTGCAGTTCCAATACTTGCTACAACATAAGTATAAGCTGCCGTTAGAGCAAAAGCTGAAAAGTAATTTACACTGCTACAAAGACTTGCGGCAACGGCTTTTATATTTGATGCAAACAATTCGCCTAAAATGATCCAAGTTAAAGGTGCAATTCCAAAATTGAAGAAAAACATAAAAGCTATCACGCTGCAAATTGGTACCCAACCAAAAGATTCAGTATTGACATTTTTGGATTGCAAATGAAAGAAAATTCCTAGTGAAACATGAGCTAAACTAGCAATTAGAGACGATAAAATGAGAATTGGTCTCCTACCAAGTCGATCAATTAGCTGAGTTGTTAATATAGTTGCTATAAGCGATATTGTACCAACCATCATAGCGGAATAAGTTGGTGGAATCGAACTTCCAGCTTGCTCAAATATGGGTTGTGTATATCCAAGCACAATCAATACTCCAGAAAAACAATTAAAAGCCATTAAGGCACTACATATTATCAAAGCAGCAACTGATCCTTTGTTTTTGAAAATATCCATAATCTTCGCATGACTTTGCGCATTAGCGACAACAACTCTTTGGATTTCTATAAGGTCTTTCTTGACATCACTTTTTCGCCTGAGTCTAATCAAACTTTCTTCTGCAGATTGAAAATCGTTTTTCATTACCAAATCATAAGGACTATCTGGTACGAAAAAATAAACGCATATAAAAAATAAAAGAGCAGGTATAGTGTTTAGAATACTAAACCACATTATCGAAACAAAAGGTCCTACGATGTAAGTATATTGATATCCAATAGCTGAAAATACTGCTATAAGGCTATTTAAAGCACCGCGTATTTTGGGTTCACAAATTTCCGATATGTATCCTGGCATTAGAGACCAAGCCGCTCCGGTTGTCACACCCATAAGAAATCTGGCAACCAAAAAAACTTCCAGGGATTTTGCAAAAATACAAATAACCTGTGCAACGAGTATAGGTAAAGCAGAAATAAGTAGCGTTGCTTTTTTGCCTATCCTTCCTGCAAGACCTCCCGACAAAATTGGTCCAAACAATAGTCCGAAATTGATTACAGATACCAGGAGTCCAGATTCAGATGCGCTCAACGGTCTGCCTATCGGATTTATTGATGGGTCGTTGCTTTCGAATTTTGGGAGTAATGGAGAGGTCCATGCATATGCTATGCCTGTCGAGAAGCATATCAAATTAACTGAAAATAGAAAAGAATTACAAAATTACTTTCCTATCTGAAAAATGTTGCAGTAGGTAGACATTATTTTAGAAAATTCAAATTTTTTACACTAAGGGCCGGTATTTTATTGTCACCTTATGGTACAGAATAACGTTGTCATCCTTGATACAAGTTTCACCGTATATCAAAGTTCCCGTAATTCAAGGTGGATCTTAAAGCCATCTGAATGAACTGATTTCGAGTTCACCTTAACGTTAAGGGTAGTCTTGATTTCAGGGTAACATTGAAATACCGGCCTTAAGTTGGCACTATACCCTATTATAACATCATTTGAGATAACGGGTATTTAGAAACGAGGACCTATTTAAGTCGATAGATTTTTATAAGAATGTTTCTCTCATGAAAGTGGAGCTCAGAGTGCAACAACATTATATAGGTATATGCCCCTCGGAAGGATGTTTGACAGGCAATTTCAAGAACCATCAATGCATTGTAGAGTAGGTACTTTTCTCATCGACGACATGAATAAAGGGCTTTGCTAAAAAAAGGAAAATTCCGGAAGATTCGTGGAAGGCAATGAATACAGAGAAAAGATAATCAAAAGGAATAATGGCAGTAGAAGTCCTCCTACAAACTAGGCAATATGCCATGAATTCCTTTCTTAAAATGAGTGGGTATACTAAAAATGTGATTGATTCCATAATTACATACCATCAATAAATCGTTCATAATGTAACCGTTCTAAACCGGTTTTTTCTGTATACAGAATGATCTGCATTAAAATCGGATATTATTCCGTAAAAAATGACGATAAAAAAGTATTACATGAAAATACATTTTGCTGATAGAGTTAATAGTAATTTATACACCAAGTGAGTTAAATTAATGTTTATTCATGGCAAGTAAGTTTAACCCACGCCAAGACGCCCGGCGAGCGTGGTGTTTTAATTGCCAAAACCTTTCAAATAAGTCGACTTCAAAACGAAAAAAAGTACCCCAGGTGGGTAGAGGTGGTAGAGGTACCTCACAATCCCACACCGATACCTCAGTCAGCCTCATGGATTCTGGGGGAGGCACAAGAACGACATCCGTAAAGAAAACACAAAATAAAAATGGACCTAGCAAAACTACAACAAATTGCTTATTAAACATTGCAACTTACAACACAAGATCAATCGGAACTGGAACGTCTAGTTGAATTAGAGTACGAATTGGAGAAAATAAACTGGGACATTGTAGGACTAGCCGAAACAAGGAGAAAAGGAGAACAATACCTCCATCTGGATTCCGGGCATACTATGCTCTACAGGGGAAGGATGATGATAACAATGGAGGCGTTGGAATATTAATAAATAAAAAACTATCGACAAACTTGAAAATCCTGAAAACAATATCTGAGTAATATATGTCGTAATCAATATAAATAAAAATATAACGCTAAAATATATACAAGCTTATGTTTCAACTTCCTCACATGAAGATGACGAGGTGGAAACGGTATAAGAAGACATAGCGAGAGCAATAAGAGAGAACCCAACGACGCACACTATTCTAGGAGGAGACTTTAATGCAAAAATAGGCAGAGGAGCAGAACCAACGGAAACACACATAGGACAGTTCGGACTCGGCACCAGAAATGAAAGGGGAAGAATGTTAGCTAAATTCCTAGAAAGAGAAAGACTCTATCTGATGAACACTTTCTTCCAAAAGAAAGACAAACGTAAATGGACATGGAATAGCCCAGATGGACAAACCAAAAATGAGATTGACTTTATACTCTCCCGCCATAAACAGATAATCCAAGACGTAGATGTAGTCAATCAATTCAACACCGGCAGTGATCACAGGATGGTAAGATGCAAACTGCTCATAAACACAAAAATGGAAAGAAAAACAAAGATGAAACAAACGACGAAGAGAGGAAGTAGAGAGAAGATAGCAGAAAGAAGGGAAACATACAAACAAAGGCTGAAAGAAAACTTTTCCAACAATCCAGGAAAAACAGAAGAGTCATTAGATGATAACAATAGGAGAATAACAACAATTATAACAGAAACAGCAGAACAGATAAAAGGCCCCCTAGAGAAAGCGCCGGACAAACTGTCGATAGAAACGAAACAGCTACTAGAGAAAAGGAGAAAACTGATAACCGAGGGTAAAAGAGACACTACTGAATACACAGAAACCAACAAAACAGCAAGAAAAATGGCAAAACAAGATATACTAAAACATCAAACGAAACAAGTGCAATTCCTATTAGAACAGAACAAAGGACTAAATATATTTAAAAGACATAACGCACCTAAGAAAGAGATAACCAAAATAAAAGATGCTAAAAACAACATAGTAGAAGACAGACAACAGATACTAAAAGTTGTGGAATCTTTCTATAGAGATCTGTTCGAATCTAAAATAGCAAACACAAGGACAAGGGAAGACAAAATACGAATAGTAAATGCAAACTCAGAAGAAATGCCCGACATAAATATGGAAGAACTGGAGAAATGGTAAAGCGGCAGGAGAAGACAACATTCTGCCTGAAATGCTCAAGGAAAGCGATACTAAGACGAGACAAGAACTAGTGTAACTATTCAATAAGTGCCTAACAGAAGAACATATACCCAAAGATTGGGAGAATGCTGTAGTTGTTCTGATCTACAAGAAAGGACTGATCTCGAAAACTACCGGCCGATAAGCTTACTATCACAAATATATAAATTATTCACCAGAATAATCACCAACAGATTAGAGCGAAAACTCGAAGTTTACCAACCAAAGGAACAGGCTGGATTCCGAAGCCATTATAGCACGACAGAACATCTACACACAGTAAGGCAGATGATCGAGAAAGCTACAGAATATAATATAAACCTATGGATGGCTTTTGTCGATTTCCGGAAAGCCTTCGACACAGTAGAAATCTGGGCAATGATAAAATCTTTGAGAAATGCCAGAGTGGATCAAAGTTATATAAACCTCATTGAAAACATCTATAAGACTTCGACAATGTCGATAAGACTTCTAGAATTATCTGATAGAATAAACGCCAAAAGAGGAGTTCGGCACTTTAGTGCTCGAGGATATTTTTAAAAAGCTACAATGGGAAAACAAAGGATTGAACATACATGGTGAACGCCTGCACAATCTAAGATTTGCCGACGATATTGTACTGTTCGCGAAAGACAAACAGGAATTGATAGATATGTTGGAAGAACTACAAGATGAGGCGGCAAAAGTAGGATTACACATGAACTACACAAAGACCCAGTTTATTACAAATACACCAGATGCAGACGAAACAATACCGATTCATGACAGCACAATAAAAAAGACAGAAACATACATATACCTTTGCCAAGCTATAACACCGGGCAAACAAAATCAAGAAATGGAAATTGATAGGAGAATTAGACTGGGATGGGCGGCTTACGGCAAGTTGAAGTACATCTTCAGCATGAATATTCCAATGACTTTAAAATCAAAAGTCTATCACGAGTGTATCCTGCCTGTTGTCACGTATGGCTGCGACACCTGGGTGATAACCAGAAGAATTAAACACAAATTGGAAGTACACCAGAGAGCCATTGAAAGACGAATTTTAGGAATTTCCCTGAGAGACCACAAAACAAATACATGGATAAGGGAAATAACCAAAGTCTCCGACATAATAAAAAGAATTGGTTCCCTAAAATGGCAATGGGCAGGACACGTAGCCAGACATACAGAAAACTGGAGCGGGTATATCACTAGATAGAGACCTTGGGAAGAGAGGAGAAGTGTTGGAAGACCCCAACAAAGATGGTACGACGATATAAAGAGGGTTGCAGGCTTGAATTGGTACCGAGATGCGCAAAACCGAAGACAATGGTCAAATTTGAAAGAGGCCTATATCCTAAGGATAGAAAACGGCTGAAAATGGAAAATGGAAGTTTAACCCACAAGCCCTAGCGGGGAAATTGTCACCTTCATTAGAAGGGCTGGACGGATGGGGTAAATATAAACTCGCAGTCAGCCACAATAGACCGCAGGGTCGCAGTGGAAGAGACGAAATCGGACCACTCAAGAAACCTAATCAGCAGTTAAACATCAGATAAAAAAGAAGCAGACTCGTCCAGAATCCAAATCCAGGGCTCGAAAGACCACCCCAATATTACTGTAAGAGAAATTGGATCAGATCAGCACTGACGGAGATGAATAATGGTGTAAGGCACCAGGAGAAGATGAAATAATGATTGATTGAATAAAAGTAAGAGGAAATCCTAATTATATTCAAATTATTCAAGTTTTGTTATTTAGTGGTCAAATTCCATCATCATGGAATTCGCAAAATACCTATCATCCTTTTGGATTGGAAGAGAATATCCTGTCTGAAAGCCGGTCCTGGTGTAGCTCGAATCAGTGATGGAAGATGGACAAGACCGATTCAGGAAAACTAACCACGACAGGACGCTACAAGAAGCAGGAAACAACCTACAAGGAAAATGCAAAGCAAGGAAAAACTGGCGAAACAAGTTGAGAAAGGCATATATGAAGCAGTAGACAACCATGGATGCTTGATGATGATGATGACCCAAACCTAGACTCCTAGACAACAAGAGTATGCATTATTTTTGGGAGGAGGTAGAACAAAAATAAAAAACATAAAAACTTATTTAAATTGATATAGAATATTTTACCTGATATAGCAGCAAAATAAATGAAGTAGTTTCGTCTCGCTTTTTTTTCAACATTCTCCATTTTCTCACTCAATGTACATTCAGAATCCAACATAATAAACTTAAACCTCACGTAGTCTTATGTCTGTTTGAAATTCTAATTGGATTTTTCTTTTTATTTATAACAATGTATTTAAGTAAACAAGATTTAGTACCTAATTAAATACACTTATGCATTAGGCTTCATCAAAATAAAGGGCGCTTAGGATGATGCAAAAAAAAAAAATAATTTGGTGTTTTTGTTCACCAAGTAAATTATTCAAATATACAGATGTCTATAAGGATCTGAATTATCAGATTCAACATCGTCTGGATAAAAATTAAACATAGATAATAATGAAAAAGAAACATCGAATATAACAATGAGTAAGGATGAGAGTTGAGTGATTCTTCAATGGAATTCAATCACCTTTTTCTTTCTCCTAAAACTTCCGCATTTCCGCATTTTGACTTCTGGCTCAACATCCTCGACATATTCATGCCCTTTCAAGTAGGTAATTATCATTCTCTGCACCGATGTTCAATATACCGATCGCGCAATGCAGTAATACGAAATTAAATTTAACATTTTTAAAAAAACCACAGAAGTGGCCGATGAGATGGGTAAAGAATGTCAGGAGAATAGCTTAAAATAATAGGATAAGGCCTATGTTCAGCATTGGATAAGGTATAAGTCTGAAAAAGAGGCAATTGAAGAACATACAGGATACAACTTGGAATGTGTTGATTGTAGAATAACGTGAACTTCAACAAATAAAATACGTAAATTTCAAATTAAGAACTACCTACCTAGATATTTGCAAAACAATTATTTGGTATTTGTTCTTCAAAATCTGCAAGACTTAAAATTTGACACCTTTACATCATACACAATGGGGTGAATTAAGTTTCAAAATCCCTTGACGTCACATTTCTAATGTTATAATTTGCTGCGTAGAGGTTATGAATGGAACAGGAATTACAAACTTTTTTTAGGTTTTCTATATTGAATTACGAAAAGACAGATTGAAATAAAAATATAACAATCTACTGTAAATATTAATTATTCGCATTAATTTACTATTTTAATAAGTGTTCTCACATGGCTTTGCCAGTATCCCGACATATTTACTGAACAAATGTGTGTACCTATCTATATAAACTAGGTAATTGTTAAGCGTGGAATTAGCGGAAATATAATTTTAATTATCTTTAAAATACATTATGGCAATATTTGCAGTTTTTTTTTTAACACAAAGTTATACATACCTATAACTCGATAATTTTTTACTCTTGGTTCATTGGAAGTTTTATTACACTTGGTCCCGTATAACTCCAAACTACTAGACCCACCTTCAAGATGCTGGACATCTTCCAACAACAATAATCTAAAGCCAGCATTATCATTTAAGCTGTTGTAGTTAAGTGATCGCTTCTCGTTATGATGCTGAGCTCATTCCTCAAACCTGGAAGGTTTCCAACACGAAAAATTAGAGTGTCCACAGTCAAAATCATGAACTATAGGTCTCAAAGGGTTGATGATTGCCGCAACAACTAAAACTCTTCTAAACAATAATTTGTATGATTGAAATAATTTTAAAGAACCGCTATTGCCAAATACTAACCTATTGAAAATATAGTGTGTGTTCATCCAAATAGAAAAGAAACTCTATCTTGGTTTGAAAAAACTTTAGAATATAATAGAAGTGTATACTATTTTCTTAGTCTTTCTAATGCTCATATTGATATCTTTTTCCAATCTGGAGCTCATGCGCTAGCTGTTGGAGAGTTTTCCTTCCATAAACCGAATCTCTTCGCTCTTCGAGTTATTGCCAGGAGAATAATTTGTACACTGGTTGGATGACGTCATCTCAACTGACGACACAAAAATGATGATGTTGAAGAATTGGTTCTCTGACGGACTCTTCAGGTAAGGTTGACATTTCAACTGCCTAATCTAATTTTCTGATTTTAGGACTTCGCCCCGAACCTTCCCCATTTGTTTTATTACAAAGTAGTGATTTCTGAATATACAAAGTTGCACGTAGTATAGCCTTAATAGACATTCCAATACCAGGGTTGTATTGTACGAATTGTCTCAGTGAGTATGTACGTACTTGACTTGGTACCTACAATAGCATAATTAATAAACCAAGTTGAAAAACATGAACTGGAAATCGTGTAGCAAAAATTCCATTCTTTCATGTCTCATAAAACAATTTATAGGCACTAAAAACCCAGAAATAGCTTCAAAACTATAATAAATATATTGGCTGGAACAAATACCGAATACCATCATTTTATAAATGGTGATGATTTAAGTACAAAAGTGAGCTGCGACTGACCGTTTATTTTTACGCATACAAAAATAGGTAAAGCCCAGTCGCTAGAAAGGCGTCTGTTTTAAGATATATTTGGAATGGTTTTATCCTGCTGCACAGCCAAGAACTTTTCCTTAGCTTACATTACGCCGCCTGGCTATTTTTGGCCATCGTATGGCCTTAGATGCAAAAATAAAATTATTATGACGTGCTTGCTTTGAGTCTGAACTATCACTAGATTTAACTCAACAGGCAATCGGAATATTTCAATAAGTGTCCAGATACAATCATTATGTAGATAGTAGTGAACATGCAAATCGGCTCAGTGAGCTTATTTGTGTTTTATCATTGTTTTTATTTTCAAATAAAATACATGTTTCGTATAAAAAGCAAATAATATATAACATTTAAAATAAACACACAACACTATGATCTTTGTAACTGAAGCTGATGTGGATCATATAGGTAGTACCACCTGAAAAATCTTCAAGAAGGATAGTCAAACTGAAAACGTAGTTACCCTACCTATTTTCTACCGAAACCAGCAATCTCGTTAATGATGCATTAATTGTAGACAGTGAACATTGATCAGGGTCCTTATTCTTGAAACAGGGGAGCAGCGTTCCCACGAGAACGCGTGTTCCGTCTTTGTTACTTATATTATCAGTTAGTTGCATGTCATTGAGAAAAACGGAAGACTCGTTCTCCTGAGAACCCTGCTCCCCTGTTTCAAGAATAAGGACCAGGCTGAGATTGGGTCGCAAACTATTTTTTTTTCAAGTTGGCAGACAAAAGTTTTGATTAATTTACTTTATCTACAAGCGTGCAGTAACTAAGATATACCACCCGAGTTTGCGATAAGTACCATATTACTGCACCTCGTGCTGCAATAGAATAGCGTTCTTTAATATTATCACCGCACCACCACCTACTTTCAATTACCTACCTATCACCTTAATTCTACTCGCCCACTATCAAAGGTAACAGACTCAATTTTATAGTCCTTATGATTCGGTTATGGCTAAGAACTACGAACAAGCTAGAAAAAGTGTTAGAAAGTTTTTTCAGGTAATCACCAACGTGAAATCAGGGACATAAGAGTCCCTGTTTGGAAATCGACCCACTGAGTAGTGGACCCGGCATTCCTGTGCCAGTCCTTGACGCATTTCGTCCTTGTTAGGACTCATCAGAAGAACATAGGCTGAAGCTCCCTGTCCAAGCAAAATTGAACTTCATTGACCAATCAGAAACAACTACTCCGAGGGCAAATACCCCTACCGGCGTTGAACTACACTGATTGGTCCTGCAAGGACTGGCACTGAAATGTCGGGTCCACTACTCAGTGGGTCGATTCACAAACAGGGACTCTTATGTCCCTGATTTCACGTTGGTCATTACCTGAAAAAACTTTCTAACACTTTTTCTAGCTTGTTCGTAGTTCTTAGCCATAACCAAATCATAAGAACTATTGGGAATAAAACATGCAAAAGTAACATAAAAGGGCACTAGAGGGCCAAATAATAGGATACTATACCAAAAAATTGATAATTGCGGCTCAAAATCATAAACAAACAACATACCAGCACTAGACATTATACCAGGGAGGCTTCCCAAAAAGCCTCTTATTCTATCTTCCGATATTTCAGCAATATAAGTATCGAGCACTGACCACCAACAACCTGTTGCAAGACCCATTAGGAATCTTGCAAGGATAAATATTTCCTACTGCGCAGCTATTGAACAAATTATATGAGCTACTATTGCTGGTACCAGTGAAATCAAGAGGCTGGTTTTCTTGATGAAAAATCTAAGACAAATTATGGATACCGGTGGCCCAAATAACATGCCGAAAGGCATTTATGCTACTATCCATGCTAATTCCGTTACGGAAACTGGTGCACCAACTGGGTTCACTACAGGATCTGACGATTGGAACCTTTATAGAAATGGTGATGTCCAGACGTAACAGTTGCCGGATGAAAGCTGCTAGAGATACTGAAATTATAAAAAAAAGTGTTGATTCAATGTCATAAATGAAAGTTGCAGAGAAAGTCAGAATAAAATCAAAAATAGATAATTAATCGTAAGAATAAAAATCAATAATTTCACTCATAAATTCGAAATCTATCTACTTATGTATATTATATTATACTTTCTATATAAAGATTAGAGCTTGAGACAGACACACCAGAGAATCCGCTTCTCAAAGAACTTCGGTCTACGAATTGAAGATTACAAGAAGATATCAAGCTCCGAAGACCATACGCTGAATTAGGTTAATAAGGTGGACCAAAGACTGAAAGTGTTCCAAAGAAAAATTAGAGCGACGAGACATGGCTAAGACCAAAAAGCGCAAGATTGTTCCCTCGCCCGAAACTGCTCCTGTGAATTGTGAGAAGCTTTCAGCAGTAAGCATTCAAGGTATACTGGCTGGACAAGGTTTCCAAATCAGGGGCGTCGCGTCGGGGGGGGGGGGGGGGGGTAATGGGGGTAATTACCCCCCCAGGATCGAATAATCAAGAGAAAAAGAAAAATCACGATTCCCAAAAGAAAATACGCAAAATATTGAAGAAAATACTTTTTTTTTTGTTTTATTTTCCTCACAAAGGAAATAATTTTTCTGGTAAAGTGAATGACCTTGGAATTTTCAAAAACATTTCGCCTGGGGCGCGTTTGCGGGGGGGAACCCCCGAGCCCCCCGTATAATTTACCCCCCCCCCACAGGCTGCTTGTCACGCGTCGCCACTGTTCCAAATAAGATTCAATTCTAAAA